CGTGAACAGATCTGATAAGCTTAAAATGATTAAATGGTGAGTGTTTCTGTCAATTGCAATCGATTTGCAAAAAATTGCTTAAACAAAAATTGAATAGTCGAACTTATAATCTAAAAGAATTCAGAGAATTCTTATGTACAATAAACATGTACTTAAGATATGTACAATAAACAAACATAGCATGCTATACTATCATATTAATTAACAGAAATTGCAGGCCCTAATTGACGCATCAGTTTATAGCATTCTTGAAGTCTTTTTCTGTCACCTACTCTTTCAAGAGTTTTTGCTGCTTCTGCAAGCATACCTGCACGTTCTCCAGGAGAAGCTAATAACAATGCAGGTAAATGCCGGCATGCTAAACACAAAGCGACTGCGTGTTCTCTTTCTCCACTATATTGTTCTTGCGATCTGTCTTTACCACAAATAATTGAAGAACGAGAATTTCTATGATGCAAGCTGCGGTCTAATAGTACTTGAGTTTTCACTGGTGTTGCACCTGCCATTATACGCACTGTAGCTTCGTAAAGGAATACACGTGCTAATGTCGACTAAAATATATATATATATATATATATATAATTGATAATATAGTAGGTTAAGGTATAAATATTTATTCCCTCATATAATATTTCAGAATATTTCCTCATACTTACCGGAATGTGTTGACACAATTGTCTCAAACAAGCTAAATCACGCTGAAAACTTCCCAAAGAAATGTTTATACTTGGCCTTTCTGAATCATTATCCAATTCTTGCCAAAGCATAGTTCGCATTTCAAGTAACCAATCGCAAATCCATAATTGTGTAAGCTGCAAAATTTCCAAAAGTTTATAGGAAATCGTTATAATATTGAGTATATGTACAAATTTGATTAGGATTATCTACATATGGTGCCGAGACTTGCCACAGGAATTGCACTGTAGAAGTATTGCATAGTTATATTTCATGCAATGCAACTACAATGCACACTTGTAACAAGAAAGCATGTATAGGTATTAGAAGTACCTCTACTGAATAATTTTAAGATCATATTAAGCTAAATAGTATGTTCTAGACAATGTTTACCTTTATCAAATATTGATACATAAAGCTGAATTTATTAAATTATTATAAATATATAAAAAATATCTCACCAAAACATTCTGCGACGACTGTTGTTTGCAATTATAATAAACCAAACATTGTTCAAGTAATATTCCTGCTTGATCAATAAGACGCATAGAAGCAGATTTGGTAGTAGCTTTTGCTGCTTGTAAAGCATTTAATACAATATATGGCAATGGACTAACGCTATTGTTGTTATTACACAACTGATAATTTTTTTCATAGGGAAATTTGCTCTCAACAATACTCCAAGCTTGTGAACCATCTTCTCTCAGTCTCCAACATGCTGCTACATAGAGAACTGCTCCCCACCATAATGCAACTTCATCCTCACAATCTAAAATAAAAGATGAATGGATCAGTATCTCCAAAATGATATTTACAAAATAAAATCGAATATAATGCACATTTTGTTTATAAAATAGAACGAAATATACATAATCAACTTTTATGTCTTTAATATCTTATCTTACGCGTTCTATTTTAAATGTGCTTCTCAACACAACTAATAATTATTACTACTATTATTGCTACTTTTACTCTTCCTGAATTTCTTGTGCACTGTGGTATATATCTTATTTCTAACATCGACATCTAACATAATATCTTATTCCACATCGACGCGAAAAGTAAACGATTTAGTATGGACTGATTTCTTTATAATATTTGTATATATTCAAGTTTACTTTTTTATATTAACTTACGTGTAACGGTAACTTTATCAGTACATAAGAAACCAGCATCGACACCAGCAGAAGCCATAATGCTTTGACCATATTCCAAAATAGAAGATAAATGAGCATCTCCAGCTGTACCAGTTAAAATGCGTAAACAATGCCCAATTAAATAATCTCTATATGCACGTGATGCATAAGATGGAGGATCAGCTTTACTACTTTGAGATGTAAATTCATTATCTGGTTGATCTCCATACTGCCATTTTTGAAGTATCAAAAATTTCGATCCCTCATCACTCATAATCCATTTCAGCTTTGATGGAACTGCGCACGATGATAGTAATATGCGTGCTTTGCCCAAATAATATTTGTGAATGAATGGAAAGAGTGATTGTTTAAAACAGAGTGCAGCGTTAATATATATTTCAGCTAACAATGATTTTGGCATAGTTTCACCAGCAGCTTCGGCATAATTTACTGCAGATAAGGAAAGATACAGCGTTCCATTCTTTGAACCATCAGTCAGATGTAAACATAACATATGTTGATAAATGATGGCTATTTCCATAGCAGACATTTCCGCTTGTTTCCGGGTCGTTTTCTCGGAGAACCATTTATGAGTATATAAGATCCATTTTCCAATCCATAACTTATGGAGAAGTTGTCTTATAATTTGCCAAGTAGTGGCAAGCCAAGCCTCTGTACGCGATGCTGGATACGGACGACCAAAATATTGTAAGCATTGATGTAAATCACGGCATGCTTGACTGCATTCGTTTTTAGATATATTAAATTCTGCTTGACGTCTCCATCGATGAAGTTCAAGAAACACTTTACTGTCAGGTGGTAATATTGGATCACCGTAAAGTAATAGTCTACAAACTCCACCAATTAAAAGTACGATATTAGTTATCCACAAGAATACATTACTCCAAATTGGATTTTCAAATTCGGATTGATCTGGAAAATTGATAATATCGCTTATTAATCATATGTTCCTATTATATCATATAATGGTATAGTGACAAAGCTCTACCTTGATAGTTAAGAATCGTACGACCATCAACTTTAGTATTTACATACTCGGACTTGAATCTGCCAACATTATTAAAAACAAAACCCAAAGGATTGAATACTAAAAATAGGAATATAAATCCACAAAGTGTAAGCCTAGTATGATCTCTTATTCCTGTATTAGTCAGAATAGGAGTCGAATGCATATTTTGCAATACATCGGGATCATCTTTTATGGATGACGGAGATGGTGGAGATAACGGTGCTGGTGCAGGAGACAAAGACGGTTCGCTTGAATCTGATCTTGGCGGCGTCAATTCCCCGCATACCAATAAATCGCGTAAATTTTGCCGCTGTGCCGTCATTTTTAAAGCCATGTTTTCTGCTTTCAATTTTGAATTAGAACTCTGGAGAAATCTGAAATTTTCATTTTTGCACAGTATATTTTCCTTGTACATGAAGAATTAAGTGTGGCTTAATATACCTTATATAGTCTATAGTCTTCCTCAAGATAGCCGACTTATTTAACTTGGCATCTTCTCCGACAATAATATTTTTTAATTCAATAATTTTGTCATTGATCGATGTTCTGTAACGTCGTTCGATAGCATTGTGGGCACTGCGTTTTACTTCCTTCACCCGAGGTACACCCACGTGCGTGTTTGTATTCAAACGATTAATCTGTACCTTATCGGTATCTAATACAACAGGAATACCTAGTTGAGAAGTTAAATGTAATTACTTTTAAATGTTATCCGAAAAGGCATAAATAATAATTATGCTAATAATCCTTACCAGTAGTTAAAACAGTTCCATTAGCAGTATTTACTAAAGTATGTATTTGATGCGGTACAGATGTTGAATTAACAGCTTGCGCTCCTCTAGAATAGACAACCGATTCTGATTTTATAAGCTTCGCGGGTAGGAGCAACTGCCTTTGCTGCGTAACCGGTGCTATTGTTACAACAGGCGATTGTACACTAAAGTTTACATTTTGTGGAAGAGCATATTGCGAACTAAATACTGTAGGCGCCGGTGTAACAGATATTCTTTGTGGTCTAGTTTGTACAGATGGTACGTCTTGTTGTAACGATTGCTGTTGTTGTTGCAGTTGCTGTTGTGGTTTTTGTTGCTGTTGCGGTTGTTGTTGAGTTATACAAGGGATTGGCTGAGTATTTTCTGCCACTGGAGGTGTTAACATAACATTTGCATTTGTCAAAGATTTAACAATATTTGGATCTTTGAAATCCTGAAATTCTTTGAAATCTTTAAATTCTTCGTTAGTATTAAAATTTAAGAAATCCAATTCTTCCGTGTCCATGCCCAAGGGTTCATCCAATTGTGACAACAATGCATCATCGCTGAATAAGTTTCCATTTTTCAATAGTTCGCTTTCACAATTTGTAAGGAGATCTGAAATTAGAAAATAAGATATGTTTAATTTTGTGGAACACATATGTAGTATACTTATAAAATCGTAGGAAATTGAAACGTAAATAACGTGAAATATAAAGGAACTATGAGAGAAGTGAATTTTTCGAAATGTCATGTTTGAAATAAAATTCTAACTTAACAAATAATACACGGAACTTACCATCGATACCAGTTACTTCATTTAAATTAAAGCTGTCATTTGACTGAAAATTCGAATAATCGTTATCTTGTGTTGCAGACCATCCCTCGGGATCTGCCATTATGACATATTATATGTCAGATATTTATTTTCATTAAATAAACACGTTAATTAAAACAACAGAACTGGCTGATATGTCAAACGTAATAACTAACAAATTACGAACGGTCACCCTATCTTCGCCACAACCAATCAGAGAGCTCCTAAAGATCGGACGATATTACGTCAGTATGTGTTACTAAGATTACAAAATTTATTACAAACTATAGACGCGTTTTTATCAAAATGCACGAATGTCGACAGCACATATTTCAAACTTTCATGAAATACATTGGGAAAATCTAATTTCCAAATAAGATGTTAAATTGTGTGTTAGTTTATATTTAAATGTATCTTCACGAATAAATATTAGGAAAAATGTAATTGAAGATCTAAAGTTTGATTCTAAAATGTATCGAATCTAAGAAGATAAATGCAGTTGCATTGGTCGCTAGCATTTTACTGCGCACTGAATTATCAGCCAATCGAAGAAAAGCAAGTTCTACTCCTATTCTCGCTAATGGAGCGCGCTGAAATATTACTGTACATTTAAAGGTCATTGTTTCGAGGGAGGAAAAACGGAAACTGCCGCTAACCATGTACGATGCAGAGTGTAACTCGCGCAGAACGCTAACGCTGTGAGTGGCCGCTTATGGGACTACGTGTCTGCCATGAATTACGTATCCGCCACAATGGTTGTGGCGGTTGGCCATAGACTACTGGCCACATAGATGTGCATACCGTCCCGGCGCATGCGCGTCTTGCACAGCACCGTTTGTGCACGCGATTTCCTTTCGCTTCTTTTCATCTTGAAAGTAGTAAAGACTGCGCGTCGTCCCGTTTTACGGTGTTTTAGAAATAAATAAACCCCATTGTTATTTATTCATCCACGCAATCGTTCTTGGAAGCTGCCCTTCGCACGCCTTATAATTTAGCCGGATCCGTAAGAAACGGACCCCGAAACTAGTGGCAGCACGTGTTACAAGTGAACCACGTGCCTCGCGCCGTCAATGGTGCCGTCAAGAGCACGCCATCTACCGTCTTCGTTCGCTCCACGGTCGAAGCACGTTTCACTCGATCGATCGATCATGTAATTCGCGCCTTCACCTCTCATTGGTCACAGATATCACAGTTTTCACATTAGTTTATCACGGCAAAAAGATTGAAAGTTCTGTTTTATTTTTTATGACATTGTTCCACTTCTACAAAAGATCTGAAAAAATTAACAACTCTGTTTATGGTATAGTCCTTCGATAGAATTATAAGGGTGGGTGCCAAATATTTTGTTTCCGAGAAATCTGCAGTTCTCCGATCATTTTTTGTAACCACAGCTTGCAACCGATAAATTTGCAAAAAATCTATAGCATGCGGCTTGTAATCCACGATAGACCACATGTTTTTTTAAAAAGCCACAGGATTGCTACACGATTGAAATTGAGATTGACAGAGGCTTTTCTTGATCACCGATCGAAAAAAAGGAAACATTTTTATAATATCAGGAACTGTAGAAACAAATGAAATTATTGTGACCGGTTCGATATATATATATATATATATATATATAGTTCTAGTAGTACATTGTACCAAATTATTTAGAAATATTCATAGTTCCGTACAAAACACGATTCTTTTCTCCGAAGTGTTAACAACTGAAAAATGGGATCGAATTGTTCCAAGGAAAAAGGAGAGCGACAATGTAGTATACAAAACAACAATGTTTTATTTGAAACAACATAGAATCACATGTCACATATGTTCCTTAAAAGCCATCATCGGTTCGCACGTTCCGCGAAATGGATTTCACAACGATCTCTTTTGTTAACGTAGAAATACTATTTTCGATATCTTCGTTCGCTGCGGCACCCCACTTCCGCGCTCGTCGATTCACCCTTTCCCTCGCGGAACTCGCGAACTCTTCGTTATCTTCGCTGTTTTACTTTTTCTTATCAATGTTATCGTTTCCCTTAGTATAAGTTTTTTTTTGCTTTTTCCCATTAAAAATTTACGCAGACACAAATACAACGCCTCTCGCTTGTGGCGCCCTTTGAAAAGATTTCAATTGGCGAGGTTTCGTCGCTAGATTGATTTGCTGGTCTACTCTAATCCTAGGGTTTTCTGTCGCTAGTTATCCTCGATGGTGAAGACGAAAAGCGAGAACGGGGCCACACGAAAACTTGTCCCGTCCGTTACTCTCATGTATGTACATTAGACGAATACGCGACGCGCAACACTCGCGTGGCTCCATTATACCGCATGGTCGGTACACGCACTCATTACTTGTGTAACTATAATCGGATGAATCGTGATTTATTCGATTTCCTGGTGGCGCAAAGTCGTCGTCGTAATCTAGCTTAGGGTCCGCTGAGAGATGAACTTTAAAACTTGCGCACGGACTCTTCCGATTTTTGATTTCAACAACGTAAATTCAAATGTTGTATAAATCGACGTAATCGTCTTCGCTAATATTCATCGAGATGTACGATGCTTTTCATTTATCTCGTATTATCTCAGGATGCTGGAGGAAGAAATTCGTCTCTATTTAATTTTGGTGTTAATCGAATAGAGCGTAGAACGATCTAAACTTCTATAAAGAGACTCGCAGCTTAATTATTACTATTATTTCTTTTCTTCGTCGTCGAATCATTGTCAAATTGGTATTGCTTCTTGATATAGTTGTTACTAAGTCCATAGTATAGCACGTTGTACTCGCCGCGATGTCGGGTTGCCACGAATCGTTGAACAAAAATCAGAATCTCCAATAAAATAGGATTTCCTGCCTATTTTAATCGTGTTTTAGATGAAAATGATTTTTTACGAGAAATCGAAGTGCGTGATTTTTTTATAACGACTGGACGTACAAACAATACGATTCGTCGGATTGTAATAATCTTATTTGCGCCATACGGTATGAATTTTCTGTGAAAAATTCGAAATTCGAAATTCGTAATTCCGTTTTCTCAAGATAGAAAATATTGATATGCTTGTATTCAGCTAACGTGTTTCTCACTGCTAATCGCTCCGTTCTCTTAATTGTAAACAATTGTTCGGCAGACTATGTTCCAAGAGAACGTGTGTTTTGAAATCGGAAGAGTCGCGGCGTCGAATAAATGTGCGAGAGGGGCATGATTTTCGCATGAGAATGGCGAAGGGAAGCGAATCGTTCGCACCGGGACGACTAATTTACAATTATAGGTATAAGAATTTCAGGAGATAACCAGTACCACGCTGAAAAATCATTAAGGCCGCTATTTCGTGTGTGCGCACGATTTTTATGTAGGTTACTTCTAACCGTAGGCAGAACAAGCTTAATTGGCTGATCAGAATTACTTATTTCGCTACGTGTCTAACAGACACGATCATGGCGCCATTTTGCCTCACAACTCGTTTCGACCGTTGCTTCTATGAATTGCTTTCTTTTTTGTTTCAGATCTTTCAATGGATCAATGCTTTCACGGAGCTTTCGTTTTATTAACATTCCAACGGCGGACCTTTTTGACAAAAATATGACCGCGTATGCCTAGGATCATCTATAATTTTATTCGTTAATTCTTTTCAACATATTCTTGAAAGTATTTCTCTTGGACGAGTTAGTTGTTTTCACAGATCTTAACGGATCGTATGAAAATTTAAATTCATTGCGAGAAACTAGATGGTCGACGATATTTATATTTTAGGTCCAAATGGAACCGAGTCCCGCCGTCCGAGTGTTAATCGTTCTTATTTAAAACATACATTTGGATGTGCATACTATACGAATATTTACTATACTACTTAGATAAATGAAATATTGTAATATCAGCGACGTAAACAAATCAAGTGAGCGCAATAAAGTCTTGGTGCGCATTAAACTTGATCAACTGTAAGTATTATCTTTCAAACTTTGACTGCCGCGGCGGTTATGCATATACATATAAATCGTACAATCTTCTGTCCACACCTAAAAATTATTTTGTATGCTGTAACATCGAGCGTAGAAAATTTTATTAGCTTTCGTGAAACGAGAGTTGCAGTTTAAGATAGTAGAGAAATTATAAAAATATTAACGCGATATTTCCAATCCTTTTTAAAATTCTTGACAAAAGAAAGAACTTGCTACTTAGTTTCTGTTTCTTTTTAAAACCCGTACTCCAGCGATTATTAAACTGTGGACGTTGATGCGCTTGCAACCCGTGCAAATCTGAATAAAATTAAAAGTTTAAAAGACAAAAAAAGTATAGGTTGAAATAAAATTATTCGAGTGTAGTTAAGAAATTAATGGTGCAGAATATTGTTTCACGTTATAATCACTGCACGAGACGTAACATTTTCGTTTCTGTTCGAATAATCTTTTTGTCATAACTTGCAGTATTGTTACGTTTGCTGGTACGGCAGTCAACGTGTTAAAGAAGTCGCTACATTTGGGCGCTTGGTTTATACGATTCTGCGATCGACGTACACCGTGATTGTTATAGCATAGAAGTGATCTTGAGCCGTTGATTATGTATTCTCCGGTCACGATTCTCGTTGTACTGTTCAAACATTCTGGCACCTTTTCATATCACGTCTTAGTAAACACACAATGCGATCAACATATACAATGATTCGTAAAGACTATCCCGGGATTAATTGAAAGCACGAATTTGTGGATACGAACGAACCGAAATTTGTTAGAATTCTTTTCGAAAACCGATGATTCGATTCGATTGTTCTATTAATACACTATTGGGCAGTGACAAATTATTATTTGTCGATCTAACCGTCGGTCTAACTGTGGACTGTTTTCACCGTCGTATTTAGCCCAAAAGTCTTCTATCGACATCGACCGATAGAATTCTGGCATTAGATCGAGTAGTTGTAACGAACGTTGAAGACTCGTAGATTCCTAATGACATCACGTAGACATAGTTCTTTGTTTGGAACAGAAGCTTCGCTATTAGAACTCGATCAGCTTTCAAATTTGTCAAACAAAAAAGCCACGTAAGATATTGTTTTTAAACATTGAACCTTCAAAGGAGCTCGTACAAAGCTGCCCATCAACGCTGAACCTATTTCCTCGTATCTTATAGTTCTCGAAACTATAAAGTTCCATTCGTTGGAAATGGTTGAACGGATCTCTCTCGATTCAAGTATATATATATATTACACAACCAAAACAGAGACTAAATAAATACGAC